TTTAAAAGACGATATCTCCGTTTGCATTAAACTTTCAGCTTCGTAACTTTGCAGATATTGTTTATGCTCAAGCAGCAACATTACACACTAACTAACGTTAAAAAAGTGAAATCGCAATCAACCACCCCTTTAACTGATATGAAAATAGTAAGACATTTTTTGAGGGGACAGATGCATCATTTTGTCCCTTTCTTATTGTGCTTGTAGGTGGTGTATTTCACAGCTACATTTCCTTATGTGATGCTGCTGGTGTTGCTAATTCGTGGGTTGACTCTTCCTGGAGCTCTGCAGGGGATTGTGTTTTACCTGTACCCTGAACCGGCCCGTCTCTTTGACCCGCAGGTAACCCCACCGTCTGCCCTTTCCTGGCATGTGACTTAATAACCCCTATACAAGGACTAGATCAGCTGATAGTATAAAGAAATGTTTTTGTTTTGTTTTTTTCACGTAGTCTATTTAAACTGCATTCACAACCAATAAAAAGTATGTTTTCTCTGTAAATAGCAAAAGAAAATTCAATTTAAAATTTGCTGTTATCAAAATAGCATTAACATATTACAATTTCTTGAGCCCTTCCCCAAGTACTTACTCACTTGTCTTGTGCATTTAGGTTTGGATGGAAGCAGGAGCTCAGATCTTTTTCTCCTATGCTTTGGGTACAGCCTCTCTTACTGTATTAGGCAGCTACAATAAATATAACAACAACTGCTACAGGTTAGTTCAGTATTATTGTATTATTTCCAGTATCTTTGTTTTTGGTATCTATTTCAAAGGTTGATCTTCAGCATATATTTGGGGGCATAGGAATGTCTGTCACATTAACTAATCAATGGGGTACCACAGAGTTCGGTGTTTGGCCCTTCTCTTTTCTCTTCTATTTAGAAAATAATATAGGCACAGGCACAGTGATTTTTGCACCACATATACATGTGTATGTATATATTGTATAATTTATGTTTTCCTTATCAGAGACAGCTTATGGCTTTGCCTTCTGAACAGTGGTACCAGTGTGGTAGCAGGTTTTGCTGTGTTCTCAGTCTTGGGCTTCATGGCTCAAAAACAGGGTGTTCCCATTGACGAGGTGGCAGAATCAGGTACTGCAACATTCTTGAAAGAAAGAAAGAAAGAAAGAAAGAAGGCAAAGCTTTAGAACACTAAAATACTAAACAAATGATTCTCTCTTTTCTCTTTCTTTCTTTCTTTCTTTCTTTCTTCTTTCTTTCTTTCTTTCTTTCAGGTCCAGGATTAGCGTTCATAGCTTATCCACAGGCAGTAGCTATGATGCCTTGTCCACAACTGTGGGCTGCTTGTTTCTTCATTATGATTATTTTGCTAGGGCTAGATACACAGGTGAGCTAAAACTCAAACCTGGACACAGACATGTTAAACCTCACTCACGTGTTTCACTCAAAAGTGTTTTACTATTCTAATGCACTTTTTTCTGCTGCACTCCTTAAAGTTTGTTGCGATGGAAGTTTTCATGACATCAGTGATGGATCTGTACCCCATGGTGCTGCGCAAAGCTCAACGTCGAGAAATATTCCTCCTGCTTTTCTGTCTTTTTTGCTTCTTCAGCCAACTTGTCATGGTTACAGAGGT